ACAGAGCCATAGCCAGACGACCTCTGGGTGTGTCTTTTTGTCTCGCATCCGTCCTTTCCGCTGTGCGGGTGTGTCTGGCGGCCTCTCGTGCTCTACGAAGGATGACGTGCGTCGCATTTGACTTGCAAGACCTCATCTCGGGCGGCAGCGATTACATTCCGTTCGAAGTTTCGTCGGCGGTTCTTCTACCAGCCTGACGAGACCAAGAGAATACCCATGGGCCTCCAGCGCGGCATCCCATCGTATGATTACCCATTGGACTGCACAAGGTGCCCGACGGCCCAATTCCGCAGACGCACTTCAACTGGGACGGCGTGTGCGACAAGAAGGGCTGTGGCGGCGGGAAGAAGTACTACATGCACGTGGAGCGAAAGCCCAACCACCCCGCCGAGTCAGACCCCTCCTCGCGCAAGGACGGGATGGGGCCCCGGAGCACCCTGGGCTGCACCGAGAACAGGGCGGATGACGGCCGGGACCTCATGGGCAGGTTGCAGGAGATGGTGCAGATGTTTGAGAGGGCCGAGCGGGAGGGGCTGAAGTACTTCGCGCGGCTCCGAGGGGTGAGTGAGGGAGGATAATTGTGTGTGTCCGTCCAAGTATCCATGTTTTGTCTTGTGTCGTGTTTCTCAGGCCTATCACTATCGGTCGTCTTCCTACTTGGAGTTCGAGGACCTGAGCGCCCACTCGACGCCCAACGACTGCATCGAGGGTCGGGGCGTTGCGTCGATGAGCAAGCATGAGGCCTCCCACTGGGTGCGGCAGCTGGTGGAGACCCACCAGGAGCTCAAGGCCATGGACAGATTCTCCAAGTAGGGACCCATTGGACATGTTGACAGGCAGACACACACATCATGTCTGTCTGTGAATGAATGTGTGCAGCGACTTCGACCTGAGGAGCTACCTGGTTGACGAGGCCAATACGGTCAAGCTGGCGTGCATGAGGTGGCGTGTTGGAAAGCACTCCGTCGCCACAGAGAGGACACAGAAACCGCTCACTCACTCACCAAGGTAGGCTCACGCCGCCGTCTCGAGGCTCCTTCGCGCACCGTCAGCGATGCGGTGCATCCCCAAAGGCCAGAATGAGTCTAGCACGCAGACATTCTAGAGTAAGTACCGCTTGTCTTCCCTCCCGGCCTCCTCCCGGTGCCAGGATACGAACGCTACCCGACCATTCTACTCGTACGCCACACAACACACCGCACCACACCACACCACACACACATTCGTTGCGCATTGTCTGTTGTGTGTGTGTGTGTGTGTGTGTGTGTTTGGCATGTTGGCAGACGTATGAGTTTCCCGACGGCGAGCAGCTGAGCGTGCACGCCAACCTTGGCGCGCCCTTCAGGGGCGACAGTCGTGTGGGCTAATGCGGCGCTCGTGTAGATGTTCGTGCGATGCTTCATGGCGGTCAGTGAGACACTCAGCGAGCGAAACACACGACTAATGTGTGCTCTGTGTGTATGTGTGTAGGGTCGTACCAGCGTGACGACGGGTGAGAAGAACACCCTGATGTGGGGCGGTGTCCACCACAAGACCAACCTCGACCACGGTATGGGATCCAGGCGGCTGCACGTCACACCGTGATTCATGTGTTGGTGTGTGTGTGCATCCATCACACTAGGAGCGGCGCATGGATACCCCGACCAGGGCTACTTCTTTAACGCGACACGTCCGCTGCACGACACACTGACGGAGGCATGGCGCCACCCTCCTCGGTGATTGCCTGAATGTCGCGTGTGCAGACGAGCTCCATGGCCACGGTATCGTGCCCACACCGATGGAGCAGACCCTCCTCACTGGCGACACTCCTCCACTCGGCACAGCGCCATATGGGAGGCCACCGACGCTCAAGTGGTCACCTCACTGACCACACACACATCACATCATCCAGTGAGTGTCAATTGGTTGCATTGATGGATGTGTGCGCAGCGTGCAAGGGCCCCCGTCTCCGGCTGACCTGCTGGTTGACGACGACGCCGATCTGGAGGAGCGTCTCAGGTGCTGGTGCTGCTGCTGAGTTAAGTGAGGGAGTGACTGCTGGATAGGTTGGGGGGTTAGCCCACAATATAGGATTCAGTCTTTCATCGCTTCCTACATCTTATATTTCGTTGGAGAGTGTTCCGCCATCAGCGTCACAACTTTCCCGGTGGAACAAATGACTTTTCATCAAACATGTGTTCCAATTGTCATATGTGACATGTATGTTTGATCAATGATGTATGTGTCACGGGCTGCCTCTCCTCGGTAGTTTGAACGCACACACACCCTTGCACCGGCCATTTTTGCACATACATGTAGGTTGCAGCTGCCTGAGTCAGGCACTCGTGTAAGGGCCGCTCTGGAAGGTTCCGTGCAGCACACGTTGGATGGATGCGTGAGTGTGAGTAAAATTCAAAAGGGAGAGAACAGCGAGCTGAAATGGATGCGCGGGTCCTATGCATGGCAATAGATATGCTGTGTTCGTCTTCGTTTGTGGGCAGCTTGGCAGGCAAGTCTTATTGCTGTCTGGCTGGGGGGTGTGGTGTTTGTATTGGGAGAGGCGTGTGTGGCGATCGGCTGGCTGCATGCTGAATGCCTCCCTCCCTGGAATTTTGTACGTGTACTCGCTGCCTCGTGTGACCTGATGACCGGTGTGAAGGACTCTGCCGCGGACATTAACGAGCTAATGCGGTGAGCTTTATGCGGTGAGCTTTTGCAAGTGTCAATCCCAATAAGCCAACCAAATGTCTGCTTGTCATCCCTACAACGTATTGTGCAGAGACGCTATTAACAGCCCTCTCCTGCACTGATGGCAACTAGATACAGCAGCCGAGGCAGCAGCCGTCCGTGACAGCTTATGTATTACATGATCGATCACACACAGGCGACGTGCGTGTCGCGGCAACCGGGCGGCTTGTGTGTCACACCCTGTCTCTCACTCACCTATGTCGCAGCATTGCGCCGCCGAACGCACAGCTTGCGGTCGTCGAGGCTGAGCGTGTATGGTCCTCCGCTGAGGTTGAAGCCCGCCTGCTGAGGCATGAAACGCCGCCGAAACTCGACCACCAGCTGTTCGTCATCAATTATATGCACAACGGTGCTCTTGTGGTCCTCTTATTCAGTCAGCTCAGCACATCCACATTGCCAACCAGGAAGTATCTGGATGTGTCCGGTGTGGAAGTACAGCGCACCGTGAGTTTTCCCATAAATGAGGCGACCATGGCGATCACATGGTAATAGAATAGGTCGAAGTCGAATTCGTCATCCTCCACATTACCTGGAGTGAACACACACAAACATGGCCATACACAGATTCCACGCCCCTACGGCTGACTCCCCCCTCACCAAACACATTGACAGTCACTTCCCCTATCGATGGGATGTCGTACGACGGGCCCCACATACAAGGGCTGTCATGAGTGTCCGGAGCCGCCGTGAGCTCGGCTGTCGACAGGTTTAGTTCTATGTCCAGGGTTTTCTCCACCTTATTGCTGACCAGCACCGTCTGCAGCTGCTCGAGGAAACGCCATACCTCATCAGCAGGCCATTCCAGGGGGTGAAAGTATTCATCATCTCCTGCCTTGACGAACGACAGGCTGGGCATGTTGGAGGCGATCTCGACTGCGCGTGACACGTTGGCCTCATCGTCGAGGGCATCATTGAAGAGCTGCAGAGTATCCGCGTCAGGGAATGTGTTGTCACTGATTGCTGCAGGGATGGCCTCGGTACTCCCGCAGTAGGCAACGGTGTGGGCGACCTTGGCGAATCCGTCAATGATCTTCTGCATGGTGGGACTGCCGCTGCTGCGGCTGCGGGAGACGAGCTCCACGGCGATCTTCCCGCATTGAAGCTGACCAAGGTCCTCCGATATCGCTGCAGGATGCGCGACAGCGTCACTGCAGAAAACAATGACACAGAAAGTCATACTGGCGATGTGATCTTCCCTGTCTTTGTGCCCCCACATGAATTGTGCCGTCTCCCGCAATTTTTCCCGGTATGGGGCTGCATCCCACAGAGAATCACCTATGTCGATCCCGAGTTCGCGAATGGACCGGCTGACGCCCCTCGCCACCATCACCTCACGCAGCCTGTCGATCTCGGCGTGGGAGACATACTCATCCATCCGGATGCCGCGCAGTGTGCGAAGGGCTTTCAGCGACTTCCCGTCGGCGGGCAGCCCTCTTAGCGCATCGGCCATCTGGTCAGCGTCCCAGCGGACATTGTCCAGCACTTCTATGGCTTCACAATCGGTCAGCCATGTCTCCCCGGCATCCACGTCGCACGGAGACGCGTCGATGATGATCGTCTTGACTGCGGGTGCATACCATTTCCGGCCTAGACGAGCCGACAGATACTCCCAAGGCGTGTTGTCGATCGTCTTGAGTGCCGGCAAGTGGACGAGGGCGGTGGGGATAGGGGGCAGGTCAGATGTGGGGTCGAGGTCGGGGTCGTAAATGCTGTCAGCGACCACGATGCTATCGTCGAGGTCGACGGCCTCGAATGACAGCACCTCCAGTGTGCCCTCGTCAGCCGACTGATTCCCTTGCCCTGCCACCGCCGGAGCAGCCGCTGTCCCCTGCCCTCCGTCCCTCTCTCGTCTCTTCTTCTCTGCGATGGCCGCCCGCCCGATGGCGTGTCCCTCCACCAGTGCCACCCAGGTCCCGCGACGCCAGACCATGATGGTCCATCCGGGATGGCGGTGTTTGATCTCTCGCACGTTGGTCGCCCTCTCGCCCCAGTTGTGTGCCACGGCCAGCGGCATGGTCTCCCACATGCGCCGCGCCGTGTCGTCCTTACAGTCGATGACCAGGTGGGTGTAGTTGGCGGCCGACTGATGGAAGAGGGGCGTGCCGAGACGCCGGCGGTGGCGCGTCAGCTCCCAGTGCTGCAGGTGGCCGAACACGTTGGCCAACTCGTCACGCGACAGCCGACGACGGGCCTGAAGTGACAATTAACATGACATCAAATAAGGTCAAGATGCTTTAGATGTATCAGATCTGTCATGGTGTCGGCCTGACCGGCCCTTGGTGGTTGACAGGTGGAGCGTTGCCGCTTTGATGGATCAGACGATAGGACGGACCACTGGCCCCAGGCGCCTGCAATGCAATAAGACAACATGACAGCCACAACAACGCAGAGGGCGGATCCATGGTCAGCTGCCGATGGATGGCCACCCACCTCACCCCACTGTGGCTCTGTGTGTGCCGCCCCCGATGCGGCAGCGGCCTCGGTGGTCGACGTGTGTGCATCTACAGCTACAGCACTTGTGAGGCTGGGCTCTCTCTGCTGGAGCTTCTTGGGAAGAGTATCCAGGAGGCAGGCCACGGAATCCAGCTGATAACTCAACGCCAACCCCACTGGCGACGATGCCTGAAAGCAGCCAGGAAAGGCCCCTCTGGCATGGACGCCTCAGTCAATGAGCTTACCTGTGCGGTGATGGCGGCTTGGTCTTGGTCGAGGAGGCGTGATAAGCCATCCCTCACAGCACGGGCATTCGCAACCAACTGGCAACAGAAATGCACAGTCACTGTGGAATGCCCTTTCCTCCGCTGCAATTCCGTGCGCGTGCATCTCACCTCCTTATTGGGGTCCATGGAATCAGCCTCGGAAATCAACCGCGTGTTTGTGCAGAGGGAGTTCGCTATCGTCAAGACGGGGGGGGATGGGGGCTGAAAGATCGCGCGCGTTGGTTTGGTTTCGGTTGAGACCCGAGTCTTTGGCGTGCGCATCACCAACGCGTCTCCGTCAGCCATCCACAGAATGGGCTCCGGCCTTTCATCCATCTCGCTGCGGCTACCCAAGGCGGCTGGAAGACGTTGTGCCAGAGACGATGAGGCCACTGAGAGGTGGGCAAGACGACAGTGTGCAAACACACAGGCGTAAGCAGCATGTGCACTGGCGCTAATTTGGGCTTCTTCCTCCGCCTTCCTGCGCAGCGTCCCGGGCAGGCAGGATGGCTCTTTGCAGATTCCGTCGGCAGAGGAGGGCAAGCCAAAGGCGACTCTTGACCAGCAAGGGACCATGGCGAGCAGCGGGCCTCGCCGCAAGAGCGTGACGGTGCCTGTGGTGGAGGGCGACTCTACCGTGAGATTTCAGGAGGTACCAAAGAAAGGATGCACTTTGGCATGAATGGCTGCATGGCCTGGCAATACATTCATGTGTGTAGGTCACGCTGCCCACGACGCGTACTCTACTTCAGTTGCGTATCGAGAAGGTGCCGAATTGCACCATCCCCATCCATCCATACTCCAACGTGAGCAAGATATGGAGCGTCGCTGTAGCCATCCTGCTGAGTGAGTGAGGGAGGGAGAGAAGAGGAGTGGATGTGCACAGACCACATGCACCGACACAAACATGCCATGTGTCTCCTATGCGTGTGCGCGCGTCAGTGTATACGGCGTCGGTCATGCCTTATCGGATCTGTTTCCTCGAGATCACCAAGAGGGGCGATTTCAGCAACCCATGGACGACGATTGAGATTATCGTTGACGTGGGATTCTTCACCGACGTCATAATGAACTTTAATACAGGGTGGGCGCTTACGTTAAAAGTTCATTCATTCCACCCTCGCCCGGAAAGAGAGGAATGGACGTACTTACATTTGTCGACGTGCTGATGTGTCTGCAGGTATTTTGATAGCGAAGGGAATGCTGTCATGGACAGCAGAGAGATCGCCAAGAACTATGCCATGACATGGTATGAAATGCGCCTCACAAAGACAAGCGTGGGAAGTCATGTCTCTCCGCCTGTAGGTTCCTCCCTGATCTCATTGCGTGTCTGCCGTTCACTTGGCTGTCGGGGTCTGGCGAGTCGGAAGACACCAAGGAATTCGACTGGAACAAACTCGCACGGTGACCGCCCCACGTATGCGCTTTGCCATCGTGTGAGACGTCTTCTCTATGATCTTCTCTGCAGGCTGGGTGTTCTGAATCGTGTCTTTCGAATGCTGAAAATCCTCCGCCTCTTCAGGCTTGTCAAGGTGATGCAGAGCCCATACGAAGCGACAATGCTGTCTGTCCACTTCATTTAACGCGTCTTGTTCCTGACCAGGTGCTAAAGATATTCAAGAAAATCGAAGACATCACTGCAGGCGCCACCATGGAACAAGCCAGACTTTTTGGATTTCTCAAGTTTTTATGTGGGATGCTGGTCTTCGTTCACGTCATCGGTTGCTTCTGGTACTTCTCGGTCGGTGAGGGAGTATACATTCCTGAGAGCATCTTCACTGCTGTGTGGCTTTGCACGGTGCCCCAGGCTCGTCTTGCGAATTTTCACGATGACACGTGGGTGGTGCGCCACTTTTCTCAGGGCATTATCGGCAATGAGGAGGCGCACAAGGAGTTCTCACTGGCGTCAAAGTACCTCGCGTCAATCTACTTCGTAAACAGACAGAAGGGACACTGAGTGTCTGATGGCCCGGACAATGTGGGCGCGTGCGCGCCTGTAGGTGTTGGCCACGCTGACCACCATCGGGTTTGCCGATATAATCCCCTTCACGAATGCGGAATACTGCTTCGTCTTTGCTTTGATGTGCACTGGGGTGGGTGAGACACAAGGGCTATCGACAGACAGAGACACGCATGTACGCTGTGTGTCCTCCCTGCACAGGTCGCCTTCTACACGACCTCCATCTCGACCCTCACCAATGTCCTCTTCTCCAGAGACGCGAGGCAGCAAGCTCTTAAGGAGAAGTGAAGACACACACACAATCAGCCAGCTAAGCGTATTTTTGCATCATTTAAGTGTCTGTCCTTGAATGTGTTTTCCTGAAGGCAGTTGGTGCTCAAGACCTTCGCCTCTGAGACACGACTGCCACGTGACACATACCAGGAGCTCAACCGAAACCTCGAGCACCTCACGGTCAGTCAGTGGGACACTCGCTGCATTGGGCGGCATTGCGTGGAAGTGGCTTGCCCGTTTATTGTTCTGTGATACAGCACAAAGGGATGACCTCGGACATCCGTCGGGCCTATAACGCCCTAATGCAGGAGTTTCCCATCCGTGACCGATACAGGATGGCCTGTGCCATGCACCAAGGCAAGCACACCAGCACGTGCAGATGCATGCGGATCACCCCAACGCAGAATAGTGGGAGAGAGTGTGTGTGTGTGTGTGTGTCAGGTCGGCACATGGAGATTCCCTTCTTCGCTGACCGCAAGGACGACGAGCTGTCTATTGCCATGGTAAGGAGAGTGAACCAGGGAATGGGATACACACACATCCGGTCAGTGTTCCTTGTATGACGACTGACTGATAGGTGGCCCCTCGTCTCCGTCTGGTTCAGTTCCTTCCAATGGAGATCATCTACCACAGAGGGGACCACCCTGGTCAGCTTGCCAACGCCTCAGCTCTTGTTCACAAGCTTGTTCACAAGCCTAATCGCGCGTTCTGTGCTGTCATTTTGCATGTGTCTCTTCCTCAGTGAATTGTTACTTCCTCTGCAAGGGCACGGTGGGCTATCTGAGCGGCGGCGAGTGGGGACACTTTCCTTACCAGCTGCTGCCAGTAAGAGGGGGAGAGAAGAATGCATGGAGCACCATAGCGACACTGAATGGTGTGCGTCCCGGCTGACTCACTCAGCACGGATCGTATTTTGGTGAGAGTGAGATCATGGTCCCGGCCAAGAGACAGTACACGGTCAGAGCGGAAACCAAATCCGAGTGCCTCGTCATCTCAAAAAAGGTACACAGACATTCCATCCTCTATACTTTGATGTACTTCGTGGCATTGCTTGTGGATCCTGTCCTGCAGGATCTCTTCACGGTTTTTCTTGAGTTTCCTGAAATCGCCGCTGAGCTCCGTGAGACGGCATTGGCGAGGGAGGAGAAGGCAAGAAAACGATCGATGCTTACGAGAAGGTGACACTGCATGTCTGCTGAAGACTCGCATCCCAGGACGATTTACTTTGTTTGTCTCCTTCTTAGGGCCCCGCGTAGCCCATCCCGCAAGAGGACGATGGAGCGGCGGTCGCAGTCGTGCCTCGACATCGGCTATGAGAGCTCGTCTCTCTTCCTGGAGAGCCCCCCCGGTCCCCTGTCAGCCGTCTCGCCTGTGGCAAAAAGGCAGGAGGAGCCGCGGACAGTACCAGTCAAGCTCAGGCAGAAGAGCGCCACTGAGGACCTGACGAGCTCGGCCTCGTCCAGTGCGGTTGCCACTGCTGACACCGATGGGGACCCGGTGCTCAGTAAGAGTGCGGTGGAGACCGGGAAGGAGATGGAGGGACCTGGGCAGAGGTAAGAATAGATAGACAGGAATGTGGTCAAGGCCAATCCGTGTCTCGACTGTTGGTGGCTTCCAATCAGGTCCACCATCCGCACTGTGTCCTTCACTCCCGGCGACACGCAAGCACCAAGCCGTCCGGCCGGCCGTCAGAAGCAAGAGGCCCCCCTGCACAGCAGCCCTCCTCCCATGCTCACCGGCACGTCCGCTCATCCCCCCACACCCTGCAATGAGCAGGACGGAGACACCACCCCTTTGTGGGTGCAGGAGCTCGTCACGAGTGCCGTCATAGAGCAGACTGATGCTGATGCTCCCGTGCCTTGTGCCGACAGGCAGGAGACACAGTTCTTGTGTGGCGGGTCGTCTCATGCGCATCTTGTCGAGGTGCCCACGAGGGCGCCCACTGTTGAGGACGTGCCGGTGTTGCACAGCGAACCGGTCACGGGGCGGGCTGGGTCGATGGCTGGTGCTCAAATGGCGGGTATGTTCAAATGGGAAGGAGCGCGGACCACCAATCCCCTGTTTCGGAGCTTCCATCAATCCGCCGACGAGTCCCGGCGGTAAGGCACTGCTGTCTCTCTCTGTGTGCGTGTTCATGTGTCTTTGTCTGTGTGTCTGTCTGTGTCTGTCTGTGTGTCTAGTGGTTCTGCCAGCGACTTGCAGCTGGGTGCTCTGCATCCTCCTGTCCTTCCGCAGAGTGTGTCTGAGAGACTCGTCAAGTATGACAACAATGCTGGAGCGAGCAGTGACCTGGCGTCTCCATCGAGGGCTGGTGTGCCGACATCGACGGCCATACTGGCGGGATGCACGGCGTCACTCAAGATCATCCAGGAGGTGAGCGACCACAGCAGTGGATGCACTGCACACATCCGATGAGGCGTCCGTCATGTCTCATCGGATGTGGTCATGTCTCCTATGGGGTGTGTGGGTGTGATGGATCCATTTGTTCCCTGATGCAGGAGTGCGACAGAGTGCGGAAGGCCTTGGATGACAAGGCGGCTACGCATACGGGGGGTGGTGATGCTCTGGGGATGGCTGACGTACTAGCCAGACTGACCAACATCGAGGCACAGGTGTGCAAGAGAGGATGCATCGCATCCAACGCATGATATCATGCACGGGCAGGGGTGTGTGTGTGGGTGCGCATTTGTGTAGATTCGGGTGGCCTCGTCGTGGCAGAAGGCCTTCACCGAATCGCAGGTGAGTCAGTCGAAACTGGGGCAGCGTACGTGCGCAGGGTGTGCTAAGTGTGTCTCTCTGGCAGATCGAGGTCATTAATTTCCTGAAGGGATTAGACTTCAACTTGCAGATGATCTTGGCAGTAGTCAATAGAGACTGACTAGCTATTTCGTGGGTGTGACTGGGTGTGTTGTGTGATGCTTCCCGCATAGACAGACAGATGTCTTTATGTGTGTACTGTACTGCACTCCCCGAGGCCGCCCGGCGCTGCCATCATTTTGGCTGTGCATGGTCGACGGTGCGTTATAGACAGTTCTCCCAGAATGCCATGGCATGAGGATGATGCATATTGAATTAAGCGTCGCGAGGCCAACATGCATGTGGGTCAGCACATCCAATTGTCTCATCTGCCGGCAGCTCGTTCATGACCACCTGGTTGCCGTCTCTGCGCTCCCATTGGCAACGGTTCTAGATCTACGCATCAACGCGCAGACCTAGAAAGGTCACCAAGAGGAGCGTCACGGTACCAGGCAGTCTGATGAAAGCCGCCCGTCCATCATCCAATTATCCGACCGTTGCATAGCTTGACGAAAGAAAAAACATGACCATGTACACCACACACTCCACACCCACTCCGCCACACGCCGCCCTCTCTCTTCTCGCTGGCTGGCTGGCTCGCTGCATTGCATGGTTGCGATGGATGCACTTACAAGACCAGCCGGCAAAACTCGCGTGCATCCATCCATCCATCAGCCGCCCACCCATGTGTGTGTATCCGTGTGTGTGTGAGATCAGAGGTTGACGAGCAGGTACGAATGGCCATATCGCGGGAACATCATGGGAGGACCTGCAACAAAACAAACGCAACGAACCAGGCACAGATGACGACCGACGGACCGACCGACCGAATGATTCACACATCTTTGTCTGCCCTGCCCACCCCGCCCCGCCGCACACACCTGCTTGCCACTCGTCCAGCTCTGGTCTGTAGAACTCCGTCGCGTTGAGCACGTCACCGTGCTGACCACCGCCAACCTGTCAAAATAGATGAATGTGTCCATCCACACGTGTGTCACCTCACCCGGCCCTCAATGGCTCACCATGATGGAGTCCGAGATGACGACCGCGGCGCAGTCCATCCGCTGCAGCGTCATGCTCTTGCGGAAACTCCAATTCTGCAAGGATGACATGTGCAGGTGTTTGTTGGCGGGCTTGGTTTTGTGGCTGTGTGTGGTTGTAGCTAAGCTCACGAGTGTGTCGGGGTCGAGGACTTCGAGCGAGTCGTGCACCTGCTGGCTGTTGTCCGTCCCGCCCAACGAATACACGTGGTTCAGGCAACTCACCGACGAACCCGCTGACCGCACCTGTGTGACCGCCCCACACCACCCCACACCGCCCATCCGTGATTGTAGTGCAGCCCGCCATCCATCCCATGTATCTATCTATCGCACCTCAATCATGTCAGCGCTGAATGCCTCCCACTTGTTCATGCGGGCCTCGTACGTCTCGACGGTCCGCAGACGCTCACCACGGGTGCCACCCAACACGAACAAACGATCACCTGCAGGCAGGCGGCATCACACACTCCCTTGAGCACCCACCCATCGTGTGAGTCGCTTCCTGTGCCTCCATGTGTGTGTACCCTGGACGGAGCAGAGGGCGGACGATCGGGGCGTGGTGAGGGGTGTGATCTCCATCCAGTTCTTCATGCGGGGGTCGTAGCTCTCAACAGAACTCAAAATGTTGGCACCGTCAAAGCCGCCTATCGCAAACAACCTGCATACACTCTCACAGATCCCTATTACGTCTTGTCTTATGGGGGCATGATGTGGCCGTCATCTGTGCCACCAGCGGACCTCTCGCCGAGCGCCGCGCCGCAGGTGTTCCTCCTGGGCACGTTGAGGGACGGCCCGAGCATCCAGTTGTCACGCAAACAGTCGTACACCTCGGTCTCACACAAGGCCTACACAAACACGTGACGCCCATCCATCCATCCATCCATCTCTGGCAACCTCCCTCCTTGGCCCCTGTGTTGGTACCTTACCTTGTAGTCGAGGTTCTGTCCCCCATAGACGTAGAGGCGGTTGTGCAGCACCGCAGACCCGAAATACGTCCTTTCTGATTCAATGAACGGAAGCGCAGAGCAGATGTGAGGCTTGTGTGTGTGCGTGTGTGCCTGGCTTGGTGAGGTGGCTGCCTACCGGTGGTCATGGGTCTGCATGGCCTCCAGCACTGCTGGCCGACGTCCAGCACCTCCATCGCCCGCAGATGCTCCATCCCGTTGTGCCCGCCGACAGCAAACACTGCACAAGTCAATGCACACCATGTGTCTGTTTCGATCTTAAGAGGCAGTGTGTGTGGCTGTGCCGTGGTGAGAGCCTACCGAGGCTGAAGGGGAAGAAGCGAATGCCGTAGAACTCCGCCTCCTTGCACACCGACACACTCTCAGAATCGTCCCTGTGCGCACACAACCCACCACAGGATCAGTACCTCAATCAGTCAATCAATTGACCTGACCACCCTTTTGTGCTCTCTCTGCCTGCCCATCCTGGCTGGCACATCACCTACCTGGGTGTGGGCGGCACGGCGGGGTTTCTGAGGAAGTTGAGGACGACGCGGAACAGCTCACTGTCGCGATCGATGAAGATGCGGCCTTGCCTGTCATTGCAGTGCGCACATGACATATACAGACCGATCCATTGGCCAGAATCAGAGCGTGTGTGTGTGGGCACCTGTCTCTGCTGACGGGGTGTCTTCCGCTGAGCAGCGCCTCGAGGTACGAGCCGCTCTGCTGGATGAGCGTGTGCCGGGACGTCTCGAATATCACTCCACCCACATTCAAATCGACCATCGTCTCAGCAGCTACACACACACACAGCAGCCACGCACCAGCCATACAGATGCAAGGAAAACCTTCATGTGCTCTCCTTGGGTGTGAGGGCTCTCCCTGACTTTACTTACCGATGTTGCTGTCTACGATCCGCCTCCTCTCGACCTCAAAGGCCTCGTACTCCTGTCGGAACTTCTCCCTTTCGAGAAGGTGCTTGCGCCGCTGCTGCTCCTTCTCCTGGTCGAGCTTGCCGCGCTCCTCGTTGATCTTGCGGCGGGCGTCCTCCCGCTCGATCTGCACCTGCTTCAACGCTGTCATCATCTCACTCTCGGCCTTACGACGCTCCTCCTACACACACAATCACACACACACACAGGGAGGGAGAGAGAGAGAGAGAGAGAGAGAGGACCAGAGGGAGCCAATGCACCGCAGTGGAATGTGACGCCCCCCGACGCCCCGACTTGCCTTGATCTTCTCGTATTCGACGGTTTTCTCGGTCATGAATTGCTTCCACACGCGCGCCTTCTCCTCCTCAAAAGACTGCCGCTCCTGCCGCAGCGTGTCCCGCTCCCGACGCAGGTCACTCTCGGTCTTCTTGAGCCAACCGATGAACGTCCGCCGCAGGTCGCCAACCATCGTCTCGAAGTCTTCAGGCGAGGCGAACGACGAACTGCTGGCGCCCGCGGCGCCACCCCCTGGCGGCTTCTCGTTGAGCACTGTGGACGGGAGCGGCATACCGGGAGGGGAAGAGCCCGCCACGCTGCCGGGCAGCCCTGGGCCGGCATTAGAGGCAAAGGGCGACACCGATGGGGCGCCTCCGCCAGGAGTGGTCTTGAAGGGCACGCTGTTGAAGGCCGACATCATCGCATCCTTTTCCCTCCCGTCGCGAAGGCGAGCTTTTTGGTGATCTTCCACTGTGTTTGTTGATATCTGGGCACTCGCGAGATCTGGAGGACCGAATCTATCATCGTCTGTGGAGAAAAATACTGACGGCATCTCTTGAGCTGCACCTTCCTTGTTGTCGTAGCGATGTCGGCTGATGACGGGTGTCTGCCGCCGCCTTGCAAGAAGGCGCGATACGAGGCTCCGCAGGTAGAGGCGGGGGAAACGAATGCATAGCTGGGGGTGGGTGAAGATTGGCAGAATTCATGGCTGGATGGATGGAAGGATGTGATGTGGTATGACCGGTGTCTGTGTCTGTCTGTCAGGCTAGTGTGAGCTCCGTAGATGGTTCCTTGAGCGATGCGTTCCGCAACCAGCTGCTCGACACGCTGCGGATGCAGGTATGAATCTTGACACAACCCGCAACATGCACACACTGGAGGAGAGGCGACCGACACATGCCGCTGTCTTGTGTCTGTCAGGTTCGCCAGCTGCAGACCCAGCAAGCTAACGACAAAAAAAACGCGGGCCAGTCCGACAAGGTGCGTCGCGAGAGAACCCCTGCAGATCCACATGTCTTCATTGTCACCGTTCGTGTGTTTGTGTGTGTGTGCATCATCAGGTGGCGCATCAGCAGCTGCAGATGGCGCACGGCATGCTCCGATCCCTCGAACAGGAGCACCAGTGAACTGACTGACCGAGGGAGCCAAGGAAGGGCCCGATGGATGGATGGATGGATGGATGGATGGATAGATAGCCGTGTATGTGTATCGATGCCGTAACATTTGGGATGATGAGAGAGTGGGGGGCCGGGGGGTGAGAGAGGGTGGACGGTAGAGCAGCAGGGCCCATGGATGGCCTCCAGTGCATTGGTCCATTCATCCGATAGCCGGATTGCCCTGTCGCCCGTGCATACCACCAGCTGCCGAGTGAGTGAGGGTGCGAGCGACAGAGAGAGAGGCATCGCAATCGCACCCCCTATTGTGCATACCGAGATAGCTAATCTTACGTGGCATTCTCCATGGATGGATGGATGATGGGTGCGGTTGGTGTGGATGTGCAGCACATAGAGCCGGCAGCCGCCCTGCTTTTGCATAGTGGTCTGTTTCCCTTTTGTCTGGTGGTTTTGGGGGTATACCTACCTGAATGCGTCAGTCAATGCGTGTGCATACTAAGACAGTTCGGTGTGTGTGGGGGTCGGGCTGTGTGTAGCTAGCTACTACCCAGTGAGATGCAGAGAGCGTCCTGGTGTGTCCAGTGGGCTGAACGGTGGGAGGTGGGGGTATCCGAGGCGCGAGCAGGCGATGGATGCAAGGCTCGAGGGCAGGCAGAGCAACCCGCTGCTTGAACCTTGTCCGTCTCCTGGTTTGGCCATTAGGTATCCTGACCTGCACCACTTATTGGACAGATAGAGAGACTGTGTGTAGGTGTGTAGACGGTGGGGGTGGCGTGATGAGGGGGACGGGACAGTACTGAGATTGGGTTAAGCCGTTGATTGATTCACTCAAGAACCTGGCCGTTCAATCAATGCATCCGTCAAGTCGCTCTGCACACTGCACCTAAGCAACGCCAACCAAGCCACCTAGCCATCCAGCCCTCCCTCTAGTCTATCAACAGCACACGTCAAAACGTGGCAAGCGAGGCAAAGCCCCTCTATCTCTCTCTCTGGCTCTCCTGCCTGCCTCACTCAGTCAGTCAGTCATCGGCAGCACTTGCAGTGCATCTCTAATCGCCTTCACCCCTTCAAAGAGCTTGCCCTCCTCCAGTTTGTCGAGTATGGCGGGCAGCACCTCCTGAGCCGCACGGCTCAGGTCCACGTAGAGCAGCTCCGGCGCTTCCTCCCGGTCGACCCTCACCGCCGGAGGCACCTCACCGCGGGGCTTCCTCTGACCACCACCACCACCACTACCACCACTGCCAGACCCGCTGGAGATCGTCTTGCGGCCTGCACCAGCAGCAGCAACTGGGGGCATGTCATCGTCTTGGGCTCCGTCGTCTACGACAACACAGAGACATTGGCAGAGGTGTGTGTGTGTGTGTGTGTGTTCGGGTCAGATGTGTGTGGCTGTCGGCCTGACTGACTGACCGGCGTCATCGAGTGGCTCCGGGGGTCTATCGTAGAGTGTGATGAAGTTCTGTGACTTGAGGCGGAGCGCCGCGTTGAGGGCCTCGCCGTACTTGAGCTCGTCATCGCCCGAAAACAACTCGTTGCTGCGCACACAGACACAGACATAGAGGAACGAAATCCCCGCACCCAGCGATCCGGCTCACTCACTTGGTGCATGTGTTGGCCAGCTCGGACATCCTGCGAGCAATCTGCAGACAGACGCACGCACACCGACGCATAAATAAGTGTTTGTTACACCTGTGTGTGTGTGTGTGAAGTGTGTGTCGTACACACGTTGGGGAGTGTGATGTGGGTCCCCTCGCCCTGCTGGACCATGACCTTCTCCGACAGCAAAGAGTACAGGAACATCCTGACACGACACGAGCGGCCCCCGCTTTTGCACATCTATCGACGTGGTTCTCGATGTGCGTGCAGGTTCTCACTGCGACGACCATCCGAAGTTCTTGACGGCCCCCTCGGCGGGCTGACAAGGCAGACACAGACAGACAGAGCTGAATAGGCAGGTGCTGACAGGGATTCCTCTCCTCGCCCGACGGCTCTCTCAGGTCAGCTCACGTGAGACTTAAGCTTGGCTACGGCTTCCTTCACTACCGATATCTGACCACAAGACCGACGAGGGCAGGGAGGGAGGGAGGGGCACACACCTTAGTGGCTCATCCTCACAGCGGGGGGCTGGCGTGTGGATGTCTGTCTGTCTGACCTGGACTTGTTTGCTGTCCGCAATGTCAACGGCCCACCTGCAGCAGACACGAGGCAACCAACACCCCACTGATGTATATGTGTGTGTGTGCATTCGTGGCCCCTCCCACTGCCTGCGGGTGACCTCGCCAGCTGCAGCAGTTTGCGGACGTCACCCTTGACCACCGGAATATCGACCAGAAACTTCAACGCGTCACTGACACACACACACACACATAAAAGAGGGTGGCGACGGGCGCAGTGTGGCTGTGGGTGATCGTTCCCTGCACACCGCACGCACCTGGCAAATGTCTGTTCGAGCAGTGGTCCGAGTCGCTCTCTGAGTATCTGCTCACACTCGTCCTTGGTGTAAGGGCTGAAGACCACCTCTTGGAAACTCTCACCTGAACAGAAAGGCGGACCGACAAAAGCCAAATGGATGGATGGATGGATAGAGGCGAAAGCGCCCGTCCGTCCGCACGCACTTACTGCGCGAGTTGTTCTTGTCGATGAGTTGGCGGGGGACGCGGATGTCGTTGGATATCCCGATCTGCATACCATACGTGGCACATCACACCCAGGCGGTGTGTGCAGCGCATGCCTTTGTTGAATAAGTCAGTCACGACACCCCACCCCCCGGGCCCGCCTTCTTACGATGAACATTTTCGCGGCTTTGTTGCAGGCCAGGTCGAAGAGGTCGTACAGAGCTTTCTGCACGGGAGGGAACAAAACGCCACATCACATCACACCACACCAGAGAAACACATCCCTCCCCCCCTCTCCCCCCCTCTCTCCCGCCCAGCCACCGACCTGCTGCCCCCGCATGCGGACTACAGCGTCAATCTCGTCAAGAACCAACACTCTGAATGAATGTGCACTCACACAGTAAGGCTCACATCAGAGTCTGTGTGAGTTGAGTGACTGCACATGTGGGGTGGGGTCGCTTACACGAGAGGCCGTTCATCAGCCGTGTCTTCGTTGGTCAGGTACGCCTTCAGCTGCTTGTGGGCCTCGGCGTCAGATACATCGTCACCCGTCAGCTACACACAGACACACACACACACACGAAGCACAAAGCACAAAGCAGCAAGGGCATGAGTGTGTTGTGCGAGAGGGATTTGCACTGGTCGATGTGTGTATCTATCGATTGGCTCGGTCACCCCACCTCAACTCACTCACCTTGAAGTATACTTCTCGGTACAGCTGCTGTGGCCGCTTGTCCTCCATGCCGATGATCAGGTGAGACTCGAAACTATTCACACCCTGACCACACACATGTAATGACATGACATGACCCACGCACTCAGCTCCATTTAGTGCCTGGTGTGGTGTGGTGTGGTGTGGTGTGGTGTGCTGGCTACCTTCTGGTCCTTGAGGTCTCTGATGACCTTGTTGACGGTGGACGTCTTGCCGGTGCCCACCGAGCCGCCCAAAACTGATGGAGCAGGCAGGCACGCGACAGGGGAGGACACAAATCAACCAGCACCGCTTGTGGCTGAGTGTGTGTGTGTGGGTGGCCTACAGAGGACGGCCGCGCCGCGGTGGTCCTGCGTCAGAAACGTCTATTGGTGATACACAACACAACACAATACAAGACAACACAACGACACACAGCAAACAATCCAATCAGTAGAGCTGGCCTGCCTTTCGTCGCCTGCCTCCCTCCCTCCCTCCCACCCTACCTCGATGTATCGCCGCACGTCCGTCTGCTGCTTCTCCCTGCCAGCCAGCCAGCCCACCCAGCAGCACACAAAGGTGTGGCGAGTCCAGTCCAGCCATGCAATCACCTGCCGGGCAGTTTCTCAGGCACGCCTGTGAGGAAGAGCAGCTCCAGGGCGGTCGGACCCTCAGCTGCACGACACGACACGACACGAACCATCCAAACACACAGACGGGTCTGTGTGTGGGGTGAGGGGAGGTGGGCTGTGGGGTGTGGGGTGTGGATTGGGCTTCTCCCTCCCACCTGCTGCCACGTGTCCGTAGAGCTTGCCTCTCGCGCTGAAGCGCTGCCGCCGCTGACATGACAGACAGACAGAAACGCGGGAAGATGTTGACGCAATGGCAGGCAGATGGACAATGGCAATATTCTATGCTCTGTGCTCACTCACTCACCGCCTCAGGTGTTTGAAGGTCAGTGGCCAGCTGGCTGAAGCTGAACACCATTCCCCTCTTGTGGAAGCAGAATCGTCTGCAGAAGTGCTCGTCCTCCCCGCCGCCACAGCTGCCCTCCTCATCGTGCACAGCCACAGCCAGCCGCCGCACCGACCCCCGCACCCTCTGAGTGATCTCCACCTCCATCGCGTGGTCCGATTCCAGCAGCTCTTGGTCGGTCAGGGTGCCCTTGGGCTGCTCCGGCCATGAATCTTCATACTCGTCGGTGGTGATGAATCGGCGCACCTCCATGAAGGCCCTGCCGCGAGATGGCCTCTGGAAGAGGGCGGAGATCTCACCCAGCCGTCGGTCACGCCCATCGCTGAAGCTCAGGTAATCGCCTAAGCGCAGGATCTCGCCGTCGGGGAGGCTGCTGCTGCTGCTGCCGCCCGGTGGCTGTGCCCCGCCGCCCTGCAGGGCGCCTACATCATAGTATCGGGTGCCGCTCTCGTCTTGGTGTCTGAGATGTCCGCTGCTGAACGTCATGTACTGCTCCTTCATCGTTCTTCTCCGCCACGAAAGGGGAAAGAAAGCCCCTTTCCGCGAAAGCTCGCTTTCGCCGGCCTGGATTCCTGTCCGAGCGGCTTTTAGGCCGCCAGATAATGACACGAACTGATCGGTGCTGGAGGTGATATGGAGTCGAAGACCAGCGTCTCTATGACTCACTGCTGCACGCAACTCGCTGCTCATTTGCGAGCTCAAATCTCACTACGGCACTTGTTTCCCCTCTTTTCCCCGATTTCTTTGACCTCATGTGTGTATGGCCACACGGAGGAGTCGGGAGGACCGGTTTACGCGAAAAAATCCCAAAACGAATTTGCCAGATTCGAGAAAAACAGGAAGTCGATCCTCACTCGATCGGATCCGAGGTCGCTTCCCTGAGGCTTCGCTGGCCGCCTTTCTGCCTCCAGATGGCTACCTCAGTGCTTCTCACGCACTGCTACGAGCATTTTTGAGGAGAAAAACGGCAGATGGTGGTGGGGAGTTCGCATGGGAGATCTCTCCCTTATCTCATCTCATCTGTCAGTGCGTCCTTCAGCCCGAAAGATCAGCCCCAAGGACAGCATGGCGAGGCAGAGGAGCCACCACCTCACTCTAACAGCCCTTATCACTTCTCCCCTTCACCACCCGGCATCAAGCACAGCAAACAAACACTTACCCAGCCTCTTCCTGACCCACAGACAGCCAGTACAGCGACTTCCCTGCACTCTTCGTCTTGTCACCGCCCCGCTTGGCTGCCATCCGCCAGCCCTCAGCTGTCACTATGACCGTCTTGGCCTTGTGTGCTTCGGCCTTGCTGCTGCTGGCATGTGCCGGCAGCTGTCGCCCAGAGCGGTTACGGCGGCTACGGCTCCACTCCCGGTGTGTGCGAGAAGAAGGCTGATGTGCACTACGAGTGCCCTTACGGCTTTGAGTTCGACGCCGGCTCACACAAGTGCATCAAACACGACTACCAGGACATCAAGTACTACTGCCCTCAGGTACTCAGACGCAAGCAGAACCCGTTGATTGGTTGATTTGCTCCCTTGATTGTGGGTGCAGGGCACCAAGAAGACCGCCGAGGGCTGCGTCAAGTACGTCTATGAGGAAAAGACACCCTACTGCAAACACGGCAAGCTCGACGGCCACAAGTGCTTCGATTACGAGTACTACCCCGTCGAGTACCGATGCCCTTACGGCTACGGCTTCACAGCCGACAAGGCCAAGTGCTACGCCGACAAGTATGAAGACAAGCTCTACAAGTGCCCTTACGGCTACGAGCTGAC